CCGCACCCCCCCAGGATGCTCATCTGGCACGTAGGGACAGTGAAGGTGCCCAATGTGCAGGAAGGACAGGCTCCAAGCCCACCTGAGGGAAGGAGGGAGGGAGGGAGGGAGGGAGGGAGGGAAGGAAAAGAAAGGAAAGGAGGGAGCAGCGTTGACCCCGGGGACGTAAAAATCCGTTGGTGATCACGCCATCAATGGGAGCAACGAGGCGGGGAAGCGGGTCACCGGGCTGTCCCACCCTCCCTGACTTTATCCCTCTTAATTGGTGTCGCTGGGGCTCCCTTGGGCCACAAGGAGGGACCAAATAATAATAAAATAAAATAAAAAAAAAAGAGGAGGGATTTGATTTGCAGGGAAGTTAAGGCTGCACCGCTCCCCCGGGATGGCGAGGTGAGGTTGGGGATGTGAAGCACGCTGTTTGGAGGCACAAAAGTAAAATGTAAAGTGCAGCAGGTAAATAAAGACAAAAGGGAGAGAAATAATATACAGGTCAGCAGCCCAGACCTGAGTGTTATACTGTATAGATACTGTATATACAGATACAGCATAGAATTGTCCAGGTTGGAAGGGACCTTTAAGATCATCTAGTCCAACCGTCGACCTAATTCTGATATAAAATAACAAAAGACATCACCAAACCCTGTCTCTAAGCACCGTGTCAACCCGTCTTTTGAACACCTCCAGGGATGGTGACTCCACCACCTCCCTGGGCAGCCCATTCCAAGGCTTAATAACCCTTGCAGGGTAAAAATTGTTCCTAATATCCAATCTGAACCTCCCCTGGTGCAACTTGATGCCATCTCCTCTTGTCCCATCGCCTGTTCCTTGGGAGAAGAGACCGACCCCCCCTGGCTACACCCTCCTTTCAGGGAGTTGGAGAGAACGAGAAGGTCTCCCCTCAGCCTCCTTTTCTCCAGGCTCAACAAGACAAGTCCCTTTGTTAAATGAATGAGCCGAGGAGGGAGGAAGGGAGAAAGGAGGAGGGAGGAAGGCTCGGTACCCCCCCCCGTCCAAGAA